CACCTACCCCCCTTTTTTCTTTTCGTCTTAAATACTATCTATTCGTGACCGGTTATAAGTAACGACTATTCCGTCTAGTATACCCGCCGCACACGCGTCGTATACCCCCGTCGCGGGACTACTCCCCGGGACGCCCGCGGGACGCAGGGCTCTTCTCGCCCGGGATATATAATACGACCACGATAGGCAGGAGCTATACGCGCGTAAGGAATACGCGGTACGGACCCTATACGAACGTATAGCCCTAAGCTATCCGCTTATTTAGGCCGGACCTATACGTCCGTATAGAGCCGGAACTATATATCCGTATAGGAACCGGAAAATGGATAGTCCGGGCCCGCCGAGGATATATATCCTCGGCGGCCTTCGCCCCTTAGTTTAGTTAAGATATCTTTATTATACCTTATATTTTGCAGTAAAGGTCACCCCTCGAGAAAAGCCTGGCTTACGAGTCCTAGAGTACTGGCTGGCCAGGGGATATACCGGACAGACATATCACCTAGGCCCCTAGAGTGCTATATATTTAGTGATTCCTAGGCGGCTATTCAGAAGCTTTAGCGCACCTTATAATAGGCTATAGAAGCTAAATCCCTTATCTCTCGCCTTAAATAGCTACGCACCTCGGTTTCTATTTAGTAGTGCCCCTCGTATATAGAGATAGAAGGGAACGAAATAGTGGATAAAGTGGCTAAAGGGGCGTTAAAGCCCGAAAAAGCTACTAAATCCGTTAGTTTAGTTACCCTTAGCCACCTAAAACGCCGGGCTAACAAAGCCTTAATTAAAGACTAGAAGGCCCTTTAGAACGACGAAGAAGAGGCGGAGAAAAGAGGTAAATCGGTGTGTTTAGGCCGCATATATAGACGCTTAGTCCGTGATAACCTCCGTTTCTCCCGAAAACCACTACTAACACAGGGCCTTAGGTAGGTAAAATCGGCTTTTATGCAGTTAAAAACCGACTTCGGATACCTAAAAACCCACTAAAAAAGGGCCTAAAACTGCGCGAACGATCGCTATTCCTGTCTCGGCTCCCCTATACAGGATATAGCACACCTTATCCTTTCCTGCCCTTTTTATAAAAACGAATAAAAAGCCCTACAGGAAGCCCTAACAGGCCTACCGCTATCTCTACCGCTATTATTCGGTACTAAAACAGAAATACAGGCCTTACTGGCCTATCTTTTAGCTACTAGAATAGCTTCGGCGGAGTGGTACAGGGCGTAAACCATAAATCCTACGGTCTAGTTATTTTGCTTTGGTTTATTTTACCTATTTAGGTCTATTAGGCAGATTATTACGCAGGATTTCCTTTATTTCTTACTACTACGTTATATGTTACTATACCTAGCTTCTAATAGCCTCTAGCCCTTAGGGCGATAGGCGCCACGCCATAGCTTTAGGGCTGCATACGTGTAATGAATCCAAAAAAAAAAGTAGTGATAGAGGGGGTTACTCGAGGCGGGTGTTATTCTTAGGGTATTTCGCCTATAACACGGCCGATATAAGGCGTAGATACTGGTTAGGTACTCGGGTTATTATTGCTTAAGCGCTATGCCTAAGGGCTAGGGTATATAGTAGCATAGTGTCTTTTTTGGTTATAGTTATAGTAAGTAATAGAGTTAAGGTACGATAACGGTCCAGGGTATATAGAGTAGCTAGGAGTAGGGGCTAGTACGGGCGTAGGGGCAGATATAGGGGTGGACGTAGGGATACTGGTGGAACCGTAGGTAGTTATTTAGGTACTTTGTCCCGGGGCACGCGAACGGAAACAATGTTATTAGGTGGTGGATTAGAAGTCTGTCCGAGTAACGGCTAGTCCCTCATTAACGGTCAAGGCTTCCGCCCTATAATAGGCCGGGGCTAGGTCTTGGTAATCCTTAAGAACCCCTATAAACACTATATAGTCCTGGATAGGTGGGAGTACCCTTATTAGCACTATCTAAATCCTCTACTAGTCTAGGACCTTGCCCGGTAGTTCCGCTTCTAGGGCTTCCTACTATTATATAAATTTAGCATTAGACTGCCCCTCTCTCTAGGAGGAGATAGACTCGCTCTAGATCTATACCGCTACTTCTTATAGGCGGGTATCGTTATTATTAACCTAATAGGATAACTAGGCTTATAGGGCGGCCTAGCTAACCCTATTAGAGTCGCTATCGTACTTATATCGTAGTATAGCCTGCTAGCGTTCTTTAAGGTAGTAGGGGAGGTATAATATAACGAAATAGTTCTTCGTAGCGTCCGTGGGGAAAGACTAAGAGTCTAGGTTAAACCGTTAATTTATTTCCTAGATAAACGTGCGATACTTAGCCTAGGATACGCTATCCTATTTTAGTAAGAGGAAATTAAACTTAGCCTAGGTAGCGGAGCCCTGTATAGATATCGTTATGGATACGTTATAGGTATACTAGGATCCTATCAGGGTTATAACGCGATATCGGGGCTTAGCTATATAGTGGTAGGTAATATCGGCCGTGTTAGGATTAATAGTAGGATTAATAGTAGCGGTAGCGACGGTAATAGTATCCGCCTTAAGCTTAGCGAGATAAGCGAGCTTACGTTTACGGTGGTTCTACGCCTTTATCCACTTAACGCGTTCGTTTAGTTATTCCTTTATTAGCGTGGCTAGGTTACTATTTATATACGGGGGTAGGTTAGGATTATATACTAGTCCTGTTATAATCGTGGTTTAAGGAATAGGGGCGGCGATAAGGGTAGAGGTAGTAGTAGAGGTAGAAGTAGTAGTAGAGGCGGTGCTAGTAATAGGGATAGGAATAGATACAGGGATAGGGATAGGTACCGGTGCGGTAGTAGATACGGGAGCCGTGTTAGTTCCCGGTGTATTCCCGTCGTGTTCCTTATCGGCGGGGTCGTCTTCTATAAAGGCGGTCTCGCTATCTCGGAGCTGTCGCTTAAACTAACTAGTAGCCTTATTACAATCGAAGGTAGGATTATTTATTTCGTGATAGTTAGATATCTTAGTAACTCTCCTTGACGGTCTTCGCGCCCTTAAGGGTAGAGCGATTAAAATATTGAATAGGTAGTCGTAAAGAGTGAAAAGGTAGGGTTAAGTAAGGAACTAGGTATGATTATAATAGGATTATAATAGGGAAAGTATAGGGGTAGCTAAAGAATTAGATTAATCGCTGGCCTCTCTCTTTAAAGGGGAGGCTGCTCCGCTCCTTAAGTCCATACTCCGCTACTTTGGGTTACTCCTTAAGGACTACTTAGTTACTTTCTTAAGGGCTGCTTTATTTACTTTAAGAGGCTATTCTGGTTACTTATATAATAACTGCCTTATTTATACCTTAAGGGGTCTTAGACTAGACACGCCTAGACCCCTATGGGTTTACAATAGGGACCTATTATGACCACTGCTGCAGGCACCTAATATATACTAGCCTTAAATAGTATATCCACTCTTCTACGTGTAACCTAATAACTATTTTCCGTAGCCTACGGTTATATTACAATAACTAAGAGGCGGATCTAGCTTTAAAGAGGTAGCGTCGAATTAATAGAGTAGAGTTCTTTTATAGCTAGAGTTCTTTTATAGCTAGAGTTCTTTTATAGCTAGAGTTCTTTTATAGCTAGAGTTCTTTTATAGCTAGAGTTCTTTTATAGCTAGAGTTCTCTTTAGCCTTATTAGTTAATAGGTTATCCTATAGGCTCTTAAGCGGCTTAAAATCAAGCTTACCGCCTTAGAAAAGGTCTATAAACAGAACTTATTATAATAACTACTACTACCGCCCGGGCCCTATAATTCTTATACTATCACGACTAGCCTAGACTTACCCTATTAGTATATACTATATAATTATTATCGTAGTTCCGAGCCGCTTAGTATTACCTTAATTAATTAGTATTCGCGATAGATTCGCTATAAAATAGTTATAGCGATTACGGGTACCACGCTTCTACCTCCTAGCCTTAGGTGTCAGATAAAGCGTAGTTGAAATCGTCACAAGATAGGTCAAAAATTGATTAAGGCATTTGTGTATAATTATAACTGTCTCAGACCGTTAGGGAAACGCTGCCACCGTATTTTATATAGTGCAGATTCTGTAAGCGTCCACCCGGATTATACTCTTGGCAATCCGGCCTATTACGTAACCGAAAAGACTATGGTCTATTCGATATTAGGCCCCTAAAGCCTATAATAGTACGTGGAAAAGGCCGGCTAAATAGAGCTATTACAATATCCAGCACGGGAAAGTAAAAGGGCTAAGGGAAGAATAGTACTAAACAGCTCCCTTTAAGCTTTAAAATCGCGGCTATAAAAGAGCGACGCGATACCTTACTACCCCCTACCCCCGGGCCTGCCCTCCTACTATTAACGGCCCCGCCCTCCTACTATTAACGGCCCCGCCTGCCCTAGCTATATATAAGGCAGGTATATAGACTCCTTGGAAGTCCGTCCGGATTTTCGATACCCTAGAGTCAATTAATAAGGGCGATTTAGATACGTATAATTTAAAGCTTATTTCTGCTAAGTTTAAGGGTAAAATAGATACGTTATTAAGGAACGTTAAAGAAGAGGCGCTTAGTCGGCAGGAAGATATATAAGAGATAGAGGAAATAGAAGCGGTGCTAACTATTCTTAAAAGATAGGTTATCGTGTCGTGATAGTTATTATAGTGGTTTAGTGCTTTAGTTTATATTTACCGATTAATTAAAAAGAGACTGTATCTATATATTTAGGTACTCGAAGTGTATATATATAATAGGCTAGTACTTAGGTATCTTATTATGCTTAGCGGGCCCCACCGGTATACTGGCACAATAGTCATCTGTACTGGGTCCCTAGTAGGGCCCTACTTTATTTGTGTTCTGACATTATCTGTTAGGCTAATATTTTCACTTGCTCTTCTAGAACAAGACCTCTGCCATAGTACGACCATTTGTTCCTTGTTTTCCTATTCTCCTTGAGTCCTGTTTCAAAGCCTCTTGGTCATCAGATACAATGTCCTGTATATCCGATTTGTCCTTTTCCCATTGTACATTGGGGTCTGCAAACTCCTGTTTTATCTGCTTAGACTTTGCTGCGCTCTCCTTTTCTGCCTCAGCTTGCTCTCTTATCTGTTGTTCCCTTGCCTAGAACATGTTAGCAAATGCCACAGCCCATGGCGTAACGCTGTGTACACTCACCTCCATCTGCTTGATGTCATCGATACTTGGCTCGTACAAGTGCCAGATGGTATAATGGGGTAGGCCGACTACGGTGTAGTGCATACGTTTAGCCATCTGCGGGAAGCTTAGCATCACACGAACTTTAACGGACATGGCCGGCCTGGCTCACCTTTCCAAACCCTTCTGTCTCTGCATGCTTCTCGAAGCTAAACGCAGGGAAATGGACACCTGATCGGAACACCCTGGCCTTTGCTAGAATGCTAACGCCACCAACGCCATCGATCTCCATTTCCATGCCTGGATCACCGTTAGGGTCCCGCAAATATGCAAGATGTGGACGCCAGGTTGCGTATTCTGCGTAGCCCTCTACAATGACGGCATCCTCATCCAGGGTATCTGCCAGAGCAAGCGCAGTTTCGGACTCTTGCCACGAATTGAGGTCGTATGGCTGTTCCCCACCCATCCAATCCGGAAGTGGCCGCCATACATCTAGGGAAGAGCAAAGTTAGCACCCGATCGCAGACCCTTGGATAGATAGACATTATAAACCTGGACTTACTCGGGACAATGACGTCTCTGTTATGACGCATCAGATCCTCGAGAATAGTATACGGTGCCGTTTCCACGTCAACATCCCTCCAATACACCCATGAGTGGTAGGGTCGCAGTGCCGCACTCAATAGCCAATTACGTGCCTGCGCCATTAGCTTTCTCCTGCTGGCCTGCGCCGCGAACCCGTGTCGGCTCTCAACATCTTGGTTGACTTTTTGCCCAAAGTCTTTTTCCATGATTGATATCTCCCCATAAGGCTGTTCTGGATCCTCCGAGGATTGGATCGCCTCGAGATTGTCAGCGAGGACTTCAAGCGTCCTATCCTTCGAGTCGGAAACGAGGAATGCGAGGTCTATGAGGTGGTGAGGGTAGGTGAAGTTCCTCAGATGGGAGAAGAACATATGGAGGTGAGGTTCGGCGTCGCGAAGAGGGACGCACAACAGGATGCGCTCTTCCCGTTCCCAGCCTCGAGCAGAGCCTTGTACGTCGGCAAGATCATAATAACGCACGGTTTCGACCTGAAGATCTCCGCTTTTGGAGAAGTATATGAACGGGGATATCGGAGACTCTATCGTGCAGGTGGTCCAGAGGAGAAAACCGACGAGGAGGACAATGGACATCGCTGTGCCCATACATGCGGAGAGCCCTCTCCGGCCGCGAAAGGCGGACGTTAGAGTACGTGGCTGGTAGCTGGTAGAATGATTCAATAAGGGAGTTTAACAACTAGACGGAGAGGCGAGAGCAACCCATACCGATGTGGTAATATCTCAAATGTCGTTTTGCCGACCGGATAGCCATTGGCCAACCGGGCGGTCTGATGTTGGGGCCTCATAGGAGTAACCTGGTATCCCTGGGCATTGGGAAAGGGACTGGGAAATGTTGGAAAGAGGACTGCCTGACCAACTCGTCATGGATGGCGATTAGGTGTCGCATGGGCACACGGACCACTACGTGGTCCCTAGGGGATCCATGCCTGACTAAGGGCTTCGGATCTCGGGGACCTCGGGCATTAGGATATGACAAGGTCGGATACCGGAAAAGACCGGATAGGATCCAAATGATATAGTACCTATAACAGAGTCTTCACCACCTAACTTAAGGGCATAAGATACTTATATAGATATAACTTACTATAATATATATACACGAGATTTCTACTCTATTAAGTTAATTATATAAGTGTTATTTTAATATACGATAGTTATAAGCACGGTTTAGAGCGCCTAAACGATAGATATTAATAAGGCTACCCCTCTTCTATTATAAAAAGTAATTATATTTATATAAGCACTCTTAAATAACTACTATCGACCTAATTAGAGTAATTAAGCGATTCATTAACCTAATAACCTACTTATTAATTAATTAATTAACTAATAAGTAAGTAAAGATATCTTCTAACGTATCTAACGCCGATTAAAAGGTAGCCGCTCCTACCCTTATTAACCAGAGAGATTAGATAGTATAGGAGCGCGCCGTATACAGTAAATCTGCCTCCTACTAGGATAACTATCTTAATCTAAAGCTAAGCAATAAGGAGGCTAACGCCTACCTCCTCCCTATACCTACGCCGTCTAATATCCGTAAATACGAAGCCCTTATTAACCCTAATATAACGGATGAGGCTACGGCTACTCCGTCTTCCACTATTATACTAAAGGGCGATAAGGCTACCGACGCTATAGATACCGCCGCTACCACGGCGGCTACGGCTACTACGGCCGCCGGTAAGAAGAAGACAGCCGCTTACCGGAAGGCTACGGCCGTAATAAAAGAACCACCGATAAAGACGCCTATATCTATCAATAACCTCTCTAAAAAGGGGTATACACGCTACCTATAAGATCGCCGTGTATACTACGAGGAAAAGGCAGACTATAATATATAGTAAAAGGAATTTAACGAGGTATATTTATATATCGAAGGGACTATCTATACTATAATACGTAACCTCCTCGTATAACTATAGGATAATAACGTAAATGACCTATAAGCCTAGATTACTCTCCTTTACGGGTATATAGGACTAACCCCTATAAACCTCTATAAGGAGGCCCTAATCCTATATCGATAATACACTATACCTATAAAGGCTATACCTAAGGATATAGACGGGTAGGTTATAAGCTGGAAAATAGCGATAATACACTATAAATATATAGGCGTTATAGAGCTATTAAGCGGGGACTATTAGGCGAAAGACGCGTTAAAAGCTATTAGACCTAATACCCAGCAATAGAGTAATAACTACCTAGTTAATAACTACGATAAGATTACGGAAAATAAGCTAATAATTAACGACTTCGTACAGGATCTAAGGGCGGTTCTTAGTAATATAAAGAGCCTATAATCCGCCGCATAAAGCCTAGAGTCGAGAGAGGCACCTTTAATACCCTTAGGAACCTCCCTGATACTAAGGCTACTACTAATAACGAAAATAATATGAACCGTCCTTGTAGCGATATATCCGTAAAGGCTATCCCTCCCGTAATAAGGAGGCCCTATAAGATATATCAGAATAGCTATAATGCCGCCGCCTATTAGTACGTAAGGCCGGATATATACCTTTATAGCTAGTATAGCTGTGAAGATAATACGAAGGTTATATAAAAGAAGATACGTAACTATAGTTTTAAAAGCCGCGTAGATACCGTGATATAGAAGAGGCGGGAAGCCTTAGGGGCTACTACTATAGCTAGAAAGATAAAGGAGCCCTAGGAAGATTAACTCTATAATACTACGTCTATTATAATTATAGCTTTAAAAGACTTATCCGTTACCGCGATAGGGTAACTAAGCGTCTACCCGACCTAAGCAAAGGGGGTAATATGCCCTTATACAACGATACTATTAACATTATAATAAGGAGTATCCCTGTCTATTAACCAAACTAAAGTATTATTATATTACGTGATCCTATACTTTGGATCGTTAATCCACGTCTTTAATAATTAAGACCGTTTTACGCCTATTAGAACGCCTACTAGTAAACTATCATCACTTTAGGTAGGTACTTATAAGACTTTTATCCTCGGATACGGAGACGTTAAGCTATGTGTCTAATCCCTATCGGGTATAAAGAGGCTATTACGTCTCTATAATATTATATACCATAAGGAGTTTATTACTAATATTATCTCGGAATGCTAACTACGCCTATAAGGCTACCGCTAGGATACTATGACTGATATTATGATTAGCTTTACTAATAACCCGCCTATCTATAAGCTACTAGATATCCACGGCTAGTATATAATCGAGCGTGCGGAAGCTATAGCGGCTACCGTGTTTTCGGTTTCGTCTCGGTATCCCCGCGATAACCTGTATAGAAGATTATAATAACCGCGGTAACTGTAGAAAACCACCGCGTAAAGGTAGTATAAACGCCTCGGCTACTACGGTACCGATACCCTAATAAGGATCGTTAACGGTATCTAGGGGGTAAGGATTAAGGGGCCGCGAACCGTAGAGTATAACGCGTATAGATAATCATAAGTGTCTATATACATTAGGCGTATACTATCCCTCTACACGTTAAGGCCCGGTGAAGTCTTAGCTATCGATTTTCACGATCTAGAAGAGTCGGAATCGCTAGACGGCCTATATAAGTCTATGATATTCGTTATAAACATATTTATAGGATATAGGTAGGATTACCACCTATAGAAGAGAGACTAAGGCTCTATCCTTTATACGTTAAAAGACGTTTTTACCCTGCTTAAGACCTAATTCGACGTTAGGCTATATATCCTACGAGCCGATTCCGAGATATTTTAGTACCTAGAAGTCGTTACTTTCCTCACTACTAAGGGTTTTTTCTTTCTTTTTGTTTATTTATTACACGTATACAGGCCTAAACCCATAGTGCGGCGCCTATCGCTCTAAGGGCGAAAGGCTATCAGAAGCTAGGTATAGTAAGATAAAGCGTAGTAGTAGTAATAAATACAGGAAATCCTCTATAATAATCGGCCTACTAGACCTAATGGGTTAAAACCAAAGCAAAATAACTAGACCGCAGGAATCGTGGTTTACGCTCTGTACCACTCCGCCGAAGCTATTTAAGTAACTAAAATATAGGCCTATAGGGCCTGTATTCCTTTTTTAGTACCGAATAATAGCGGCAGAGATAGCGGTAGGCCTGCTAGGGCTTCCCGCAGGGCTTTTCGTTCGTCTTTATAAAAAGGGCAGAAAAGAATAAGGTGTGCTGTATTCTATATTTAGGAGCCGGGACAGGAATAGCGGTCGTCAGCGTAGTCTTAGGCTCTTTTTTAGTGGGTTTTCAGGTATCCGAAGCCGGTTTTTAACTACGTAAAAGCCGATATTACCCACCAAGGGCCTTATATTAGTAGTGGTTTGCGGGAGAAATGGAGGTTATCGCGGACTAGTCGCCTATATAGGCGGCCTAGATAAACCGATTTACTCCTGTCTCCTCCTCTTGTTCGTGGTTCTATAGGGTTTTCTAGTCTTAAGTAAGGGATTTATTTACCCGGCGTTTTAGGTGGCTAAGGGTAACTAAGCTAACGGATTTAGTAGCCTTTTCGGGCTTTAACGCCCCTTTAGCCACCTTATCCGCTAGTTCGTTCCCTTCTATCCCCACGTACGAGGGGCACTACTAGACAGAAACCGAAGTGCCTAGCTATTTAAGGCGTAAGATCAGAGATTTAGCGTCTATAGGCCCATATAAAGTACGCTAAAGCTTTAGAACAGCCGCCTAAGAATCGCTAACAATATAACACTCTAGGGGCCTAGGTGTCTGCTTAAGGGCAGCGTGAAGGACCTAGAGAATAGCGTATAATATAGCGTCCGCGACTTCGGTAGCGGTCCCTAGGTTAAAGCCTATAGCTTTACAGGGCCTTCCAGTATCAGTCCACTATATCACAGCGGCTACAGCCTATAAAGGCCCTATAGGGGGCCTAGTAGGGTGACCTAGTAGGGTGGCCTAGGCAGCCGTCGGTATAGAAAACAGTAGCCTATTCCCCTAGGCCTTATTAAATTTCAGCGAGGGCTTCGAGGTAGGCCATTTTCTAATCGAGGGTATCGGGGCCAGGGCCAGGGACGTTATCTGCTTTAGGCCGGTCTTTAAAAGGGAAAAAGGATCTTAGGTCCGCTATAGGCTCCGAGGCCTAGGGGGCCTCCCACCTAACCAAAGGGCCCTCGATATCCTTAGACTAACCTACTAAAGCCACTATTTCTAGGCCTAGCCTATATAGCTATATAGTAGGCTATAGTTTCTAAAGAAGGGCGAGGTTTTCCTAGTTTTTATCCCCTGGCTGCCTTTAAACGCTAGCAAAGAGCTAGCGTTTAATAGGGTAGTTCGGTAGGAACTTTAAGGTCCTAAAGGTATAGAGCCTATTAGACCTAGTTAACCGAACCGCTGCCGGGGGAACTACTGCTTCGAGTTCTAGAGGCCGTAAGGGGGCCCCCCTAAAGGCTCCTAGTGCCCTAACTAAAGCGCTATACTATAAGCGTTCTAGGCGGTCCACTAGGTGTTTTTTCGGTATTTTAGGGTCCTACCAGGGCTACGAGCCAAAATCAGCTAAGGAAGCTATACAGGCTATATATAGCTACTGTAGAGCCTTAGAGAAAAGGCCTCTCTACGAGATAGCTAGCCTATATAGTCTATTTAAGGCCCCTAAAGCTGGGTTTAGGCGTTTTTCGACGTGGGGCTTAAAGAAAAGCTTAGGGTTAAACCAGACCCCAAGTCACCTAATAGCACCTAGCGTAGGTTTAACTAAATACCCCCCTATAGTAACCGGAGTATCTTTTATAAAGCGTCTTTGATAGAAGTGAATAAGCTCTGCTTTTCGGTGGTCGAAAAGGACTTAGTTAACTTGTACTGCGTCGAAAAGGGGGGCTACGGCT